AAAAATGAAAATAAATATAGAAAACAATATTTATCTCTTATAAGCCCTAAGGCTACGTTTGGGATCGCTTTATTTTTTAATTTCTATTTTTGCTTTTTATTTTATTTTATTTTTAAATAAAATATGTTTTACATATTTGATAATATATAATTATTTTTAAAAATACTTATAATACCTAAAAATTATTTTGAGTGTTTTAAAAAAATATGAGGGCAATCTAGAAGCTCATTAGGTCCACTCATTTATTACCAACAAAGCACAATTTAGTAGAGAGACTGGCTAAGATCTAATAATACTGTTCGATTCATGAAATTCTCATCATCATCATGTCTAATCAAGATAAGACATTTAAGTTTAAACTTTGGAAGCATGTATAGGAAGCCTTGTGCATAACGTCAAACTTTAATACTATTTTCATCCTTAGACAAAAGGTCGGAGTGTGTCATTCAGACGCTAGAAAATCTATGAAGAGCTTGCATTTTGGACTTTGGAGACAATTGAGAGGATTATATTTTAATGGTAATAATAATTTTCTTGTTAGCATCGACATGGCATCATTCCAGACTCTTTATAAAAATAAGTGCAAATCTTCTTTTAGTTGTTGAAAAATAATTGTTTGAATCCCAACTAGTTAATTAAGCTGCCAAGAAGGCTTCTCATATTCAAAACTAAGTACATGCAACTCAAGAGGCAGAAAAGAGACTTTGACCCTAAGTGTAAAGAAATTTACTTTCAAGTTGGAGATCAGATATTTCTCAAAAGTTTCCTCAATGCATGGAGCTATTAGATTTGATTACGGTGAAAGCTTCAACCTCATTTTAGTGGTTCATTTAAGATGATAGAGAGAGCTGGCAGAGTTTCTTCTAGGTTGGTTGTTTCTCTGTATACTTGTAGGAATACATGATTTTTTCACATCTCTCAATTACGATGCTATGTGCTTGATGTTTTCATATTATTCAATACGAGGTATCATATCATATTTTGGATTTTGAAGTTTGAAAATTTCAATGTTGATCTTCTCATTTATAAGACTACTTTGAAATGTTTAGTCGGAATACGTAGTGCATTGGCATTTTGTAACGAAATGATTGTGAAGTGCCCATAACTGTTCTAAAATGAGGAACAAATTTGTGGACCAAATTTTCTAAGAGGTTTGGCATATAAGAACCAATAGATACAAATTTACATTTGGTTTCGCACTCCTAAAGCATCTTCATCATATTTTTCTCTCACCACCTTCACACCCTCTCATGCTTGAATCAAGAAACTACTTTGATTATAAACATGTCATATTTGTAATCCGCTTGAGTCCAATTATGTCCATAAAGCCTCTAAAGGTGGTTCAATGACATAACTTGTGCTCAATTTGACTCCAATTGGACAAATTTTGGTATCGTTGGGTCGTTCTCATCGAGCCAGTCAATTTGATTATAAGTTTGCATAAATGATAATTCCATATGACTTTTAATCGAAGTTTGAATATTTTTTTGCTCAAAATTATTTTGAGATTTGTGTCATGCCTCAAGATTCATGACAGATGAAAGAAATTTGTTGATGGTGTAAAAAAAA